GTAGTATGGCTCGTCTTTGGTGCTCTAACACAGACTGTCTGCAGAGTTAAGTTTGTCTTGGGTTGTCTGACACAGAGGTGCTGACTGGTTTTTGGGTAGACTGTCTCTCTCCTTGTTTTTCACTTGGTAAGACAGTAATTGAAAGATTGATGTTAAAGGGAAAATCTGGGGGAGTTTTTCTTGACCAAGAACAATATGGTATCAAGTACAGCACCCTCTCAAACACTCAACACACCCAACATTACTTCAGATTTCACTCCGCTGTATTTAATAATACACAGTGGGGTCCAAAAGTCTGAGAGCACACTGAAAACCTTGGATTTAAAATCTAATTTAAACTTGGACATATACCGAACAGATTTTTGATGCATTTAAAACAAAGAAACATTCTGAACAATTTCTTTATGCATCCAGATTAAAGGAATACTTCACTTAAAAATTAAAATGTGCTGAGAATTTACTAACCCTCAGGCCATTCAAGATGTACATGAGTTTGTTTCTTTATCGAAATAAAGCATTACATCATTTGCTCACCAACGGATCCTCTGCAGTGAATGGGTGCCGTCAGAATGAGAGTCCAAACAGCTGATAAAAATGTCACAATACTCCACAAGTAATCCACATGACTCCAGTCCATCAATTAATGTATTGTGAAGGGAAAAGCTGTGTGTTTGTAAGAAACAAATCCATCATTAAAGAGGTTTTACTTTAAGCCATTGTTTATGGCCAAAATACGAGTCTATGATCAGTAATAGCACTTCCTCCAGTGGAAAAAGTAAATACTCTGTTGTCCTCTCACATCTAAATCCACCCACATATTTGTTTAGAACTGTTTTGTCTTGTAAACAGTTCTTGATCTGTGCATATTTCTCTCCTGATTCAGACAAGACCACTTTTTTCACTGGGGGAAAAAAAAGGATAAAGGACCCGTATTTTTGCCGAAATGTTTTAAAGTGACCCTATTATGGGTAATGAAAGGTTCATATTTTGGTTTTGGGAGTCCCCAATGACAGGATATTTACTTTTTCATTCAGACCAACGCGAAAAGACCAACAAGTGGGCGGGCAATATGCTAATGTTCAATGTAGACGTCAACATGAAACGGCTTGGGATTAGTTTTAAAAACGACTCTTTCAATGATTCAGAGTCGACTCTTTCTTTTGAGAGACAATAACTTTATACACGGTGCACTTTCAGTTTGAAAACTTTTCAGGATTTAGTTTTTCAGGACTTTCAGGACTAGTTTTTCTAAGCTTTCAGGACCGTGACGCTAATCTGCAGTGATTGGTCCGATTGGTCTCGTTTTCATTTAATCTTGCCTGTAATGCCCATAGACTGTATAAAAACATGGATGTAGTGTCCGTGACGTCACCAGTAGATTTCTGAATAGCATTTTTGAAGCTCAAAGTGGGCGGAGTGGGCCGTCGCCATCTTGGCAGCGCGTCACTAAAGGATAATCGAAAATGGGCAAAAAGGCGGGAGCTGGTTGCTGAAGTCACACCCACCTAGCTCGACGGCAGTGTCAGCAGCGGCAATCCACCTGTCACTCAAGTGGCCACACCCTTAATTATGCAGAACTTTAAGGCTTAATATAATTTAAACGGATGAGTTATAAAAAAATTCAATAAAAATATTGATATTATTAATATAAAAAAATAATTTTTTGAACCAGGCTGTAACTTTCTTTTGAGAGACAATAACTTTATACACGGTGCACTTTCAGTTTGAAAACTTTTCAGGATTTAGTTTTTCAGGACTTTCAGGACTAGTTTTTCTAAGCTTTCAGGACTTTTCAGTTCTAAAACTTTTCAGGATAACACAGCTATTCACTTATAGCTGTGTTACACACTGCATGAAAGGTAATTTTAAAGATAAAAACATCTTTTACTTTAACTTTTTTGACTTTAAAGTTAAAAACATCTTAGCCTAATAACTGACAATGTATTAATGTATTTATTACAAACATGCAGCTTTTTGCTTCACAATGCAATAATTGATGGACTGGAGTGGTGTGGATTATAGTGATGATTTTATCAGCTGTTTGGACTCTCATTCTGACGGCACCCATTCACTGCAGAGGATCCATTGGTGAGCAAGTGATGTAATGCTACATTTCTTCAAATCCATTATGATGAAGAAACAAACTCATCTACATCTTGGATGGCCTGGGGGTGAGTACATTTTAAGCAAATTTTCAGTTTTGGGTGAACTATTCCTTTAAGAACCTTGTCGTCTCATTAATTGCTGGATGCAGATCGGAACATCTAAAGTGTGAACCTGAAACTTGCTTTTCCCACTCAGTTCATATTCATTGAAATCCCAGAAAGGCTCCTGGTTTAAATGGAGATGGATCACACTCTGATTATGCCTGTTATGTCTTCAAGTAATGTGTAACAGTCCCAATTTAACAGACATCTGTACCAGAGACACAAACGCAGCACTGAGGCCAGCCGTGAGCTTCCAGGACCATCCAAAGCAAATGTTGATCCAGACTTCAGTCCAAGTCAGTGCGTTCTACAGTAGTGCACAATCCCTGAGCTGCTTCCCAGCTTTCATCTCCGGCCAGGTATCTTCAAGGTTCATTGATAAGGCAATGAAACTGTATGTAAATGGAACAACCCGGCGCATGGACTTCTGGCCATTAGTCTTCCCTAAAGCCCCAATGTGACTTTTAATCAACGTCAAACGGGGGAAAAGAGACAGAGGAGAAAGTTTAATGACTGAGATGATATATTTAAAGAGGAACAAAGTAATGCCAGGAAACTATGATAGAATACTATTTTCGAGACGGACGAGATCATTGCAAAAATGTCTTTTTATTTCTCTTACAAAGAAAACTATTATAACAACATACAACAATCAAAAAAGCCAATTTCTTTCACTGTTGTCATGATTATTTCCCTTAAACCCTTTTTCTATCCGTGGATAAAAGAGAACAGGCTTCACAGGGAAGAAAAGCGAGATAATTTAAACACAGATGTGCAAAGGAAACAAAGCATGCAAGAACCAGAGACAAATTTGCTACAAATTGCCCTCAGTTAACCTGTCAGATAAATACTAACTTACAAAAGAAGAAATTAGATAATAATTCAACAAAACTAGGGTGGTGTATTTACCTCCTGTAATATACAACATGGTCTCTAAATGTTGTAAACATTTTGTACACACTCACAGCTATTTCAATTTATAGGTAGACGCCCTGATTTGAAGCCGTTTCGCCGTCAGGATGGGATAACCGGGAATACTGACCTGGATCCTGTGATGAATTCAAGCAACGGCCCTGATTAGAAGCAGCCAAAAGGAACCATGACTAGTCCTGCCAGAAATGCAATACTGGACCAATGTTAAGGTAAAGAAGGTCAGAAACACATCCAACTCAAGCTAAGAGCTTTGGTTTATTTTAATTTAATTGCTTAAATATGGGCTGTACAAGCCGTATAAAAAGCACTGCTTCAAGGAAAGCTTTCGGTTGTTTGGTGAGGTCTGTATAGTTCCAACTGTAAGGCACTCGATAAATGTAACTCTGTTAGACGATTGCAGTTGGGTAAATCAATCGGTCGATGACTGGTGAAAGAAGGGAAAACTAGTATTCTGAAATTATAAAGCTAATTTGCACATTTCTGAGCTGATAATGAAGATTTTCATTAGCATAACTGACAATGTACCACCACATCAATGGAATAAAATGTAGCTACACAACTGGTCAAAAGTTTGGGTTCAGTACGATTTTTTAATATTTTTTGAAATGTAAATTTTTTTAATGCTGCATTTATTTGATCAAAGTAGAGTAAAAACATTAATGTTGTGAAATATCACTACAATTGATTTTTTTCTATCTGAATATATTGTAACATTTATTTCTGTGATGCAAAGCTGAATATTCAGCAGTCTTCAGTGTCACATGATCCTTCAGAAATCATTCTAATATGCTGATTTTCTGCTCAAAAACATGTATTATTATTATTAATGTTTATAACATTTATAATAATCGAAAACAGTTGAAATTTTGAAAACATTTTCATATGTTGAAAACATTTTCATATTTTTGTGGACACTGATACATTTCTCTTTCAAGGATTCTTTGAAGAATAAAAAACAACAGCATTTATTTGAAATAGATCTTTTTTGTATCCATGTAAATGTCTCTACTGTCATTTTTGATCAATTTAATGCATCTTTGCAGAATATTAATTTCCTAAAAAATATTATTGACCCCAAACTTTTGAATGAAAAAAAGAAGAAAAAAAAATTGAATTTACTCCAGCTGCATTGTTGCAATGGGTAATATAGTGCCATAACTGAGTGTATTACCCCTCTTTTTTGAGGATATGAATTGCTCCAGTTATAAGGAAAAGAATATCCGTGTACAATACATCCAGAAACTTCAATATCCCCCACTGGAAACCTTTCCCAGCCGCATTTGATTAAGCAACATAAAAGCTAAATAAATTATCCCAGCACATGCACGCTACTCAAAGAAAGCTTGATCTAGCACATTGGCAAACACTTTTGAGCATCCGTGGCTGTTTCTTTGGTTTTAAAGCTTTAAAACAGTGAAAAAGCACTTAGCATCAAGCAATATTAACTGCTTACAAATGTAGTGTTCTTAGACACAGAGACCCTATTTCGTTTTAAACGCATTCGACTTAAACATACAACTCTGTGTGATCAATTAAGGCACAGAAATTTAAATTACCCTAAATTATTTGCATTAACTTGAACATAGATGCTTTACAAAAATATTCCCTCTATGACTCAAGTTCCAAATACATTAATTCATCTATGGCTTTTATAAGTTACTTTAAATCCTTTTATCAAATACGTATAACTTAAATGCTTACGTTAAAAAAGCACAAAAAGTGATATTTGATCACAAACTGTCATGCAGATGTTGTTCAGTGCTTTAAATGATATATTAAAAACATGCCAAGACAAGTAAATAATAATATAATGCTAATGAAACACTCGATCCATCTCTGTTCCTTCAATTCCAAATAATCCCGCCTATGACAATGATTCCCAGAGGTCAAAAGGTCCAGAATAATGTATTACAACAACAAAGTCCAATGTAAAAAATACTTCCCTTTCAACAGGCTCATAAATACTCATGTTAGCGAGGGAAAGTAGCTCAGCGAGACGGGATGAACATCCTAGTAAGGTTTGTGCTTTAAAACCATGCTGTTTGTTTGAAGGTTCCACGTTTACGTAATTGTCCGTTCAATATGGCCGCCACACGCCTTCGTCCATTCTACCAGCAGGATTGAGAAGAGTGGGGGAGTTGCTATGACTTCCGTCTGCCTCCACCCCCCCACCTCCATCGGCCTGGACCGGGAGGTTGGGGTTGACCAGGCTGGTTCCCGTGGATGCGCTAGTACAAGGCGGCATCATCCGGGTGGGCGATCGGTCTCCTCCTGGAACCATAGAGAACTGGTAGGAGCCCGAGGAGGCTCCGTAGTAGAGATAAGGTGTGCTGCTGCTCTGGAAGGGTCCGCTTTGGCTCTGGGTGGAGCCGGGGTACGGCGGGGGAAGGTAGGTGTGGTAGTGAGCGCTGCCGAGTGACATGCCGGTGGTGACGGGGGTGGGCGTGTATGTGAAGGTGGCCGGGTAGTGCATTCTGGGACTGGAAAATCGGCTCTCGGTGAGTGAGGAGAAAGCGGGGAACTGACGCTCAAACTGGCCAGGAAAAGGACTCAAATCTGTCGAACCTACAGAAAACAAAGGTTGAGGTTACTTTTTTTTAGAAGTATGGAAGAATTTGAAAACAGATATTCCAGCAATGAACAATCATGACAACAACCACTTCATTTAACTACAACCCTGTTTAACTAAGTGCATAAACATAGCCACTATGTTAAAACTGTGTTTTAAGAACTATAGTTTCAACTAGAAGTCATGGGGTAATTAGTCTTATTTTTGGATTCAAATTAGACCAATCTACCTTTTATAACTGAATTTAAAGAGTTATGATCTTGAGGATCTTGAAGAAAAAAAAATATATGAATAACTTCATATATTTTCATATATCAAAAATAAAGATAGACTAAGCAGTTTATGCAACCGGCCCCAAGAGTTAAATTAGTTTTTTTTTAATTATGTGACTTCATTTTTATTTTATTTTATTGTATTTATTTGATAAAAACACAATAAAAACTGATATATTTATTACAATTTAAATAACTGTTTTCTATTTGAATATAATTTAAGTCTTCAGTGTCACATGATCCTTCAGAAATCATTTTAGTATGCTGATTTTCTGCTCAAGAAACTTTTTTCTGTGAAGAATAGATGTGCTACTTCATAATTTCTGTGGAAAACATGATGCATTATTTTTTTTCAGGATCACATCATAATTGAAAATGTCAAAATAATAGCATTTATTTGAAATATAAATGTTTTATTATTATTACTGCCACTTTTGATCAAATTAATGTATACTTTCTGAATAAATGTATTAATTTTTTATAAAATATGAATAAAATATATAAATGTTTTCACAAATCCAGTGCATTTTAAACTAAACTAAGAAAAAAAAAGCAATTTAAATGACAGAAAGTAACTATAAAAAAAAAAACACCATTAACTTTAAATTAGAGACATGCAGAGGAGGACAGTTTATCGATTAGTTGGCTTCACTTCATTGTGGTTTTTCCTCTTTGTCACAGACAAGTTCATGTGTATGTGTATTCATGTGTGCGGTTATATGTCTCAGTTCATTTGTGTCTCCGGGGTATTTATATGCCTCTGTATGCTGTGTGCATGTTTAAATTGTTCCTGTGCATCCAAAAGTGTGTGTGTGCATCTGCATTGGTTGCCGCACATAAAACACAACTAGGATGCATAATCGGTCACACATTTGGAAACGTTTAGAGGGGCGCAAAGCAGCATCGTAGCGAGAGAGACAGACGTCTGCACTGTTGTGGGCTCCTGGTATCTTCAGCATTATAAACCCAGGCAAAAACTGTCCATCTGCCCTTCTGTCCTTAACATATTCTTTATTTCCCTCCAAAAATCAGAAACCGCTAATGGTCTGTAGCGAGCGCTAGTGCCAAGGGGTAGAGGAACAAAAAGAAACGGCCTCGCCTCCCTGGCGCGGAGCTGTTTTCATAAATCACACGGCGTCTTTCTTGTCACCATGTCTGCGCCTGTGGGTCGACTGGGTGGCATGGTTAAACGTGGGTGATTTGCGGAGGCACGGCTTGTCGCTAACGCTAGTCGTGTCTCCTTTTCCCCTCTACGCCTATCCCTTTTTTCTTTTATATTCAAAATCTTTGGTTTGAGCAGCTGACAATAATGGTTCTCTTGCCCCGGGCTATACAGAGTGCCTGTGCTCTGAATAACAGACTGAATGATAAAAGCAAAAAAAGTTATTTACATACATTCTCTGCTAGTCACCAAAAATCCATAGACGAGATGGCGCTGGTCTGGAGAACAGATGCTAGCTATGTCTGTAAATCTAATGATTTATTTGGCAAGAATGATTCGTTTCAGGTGAACCAAACAATTATGGCTTATTTACAAGTTGAAGTCATGTTTACATGAGGAATGATGTCACCATACAACACAGTGCAGTAGTTTTTACTCTTTGTTTGCTACAATGCTAAAGCTAAACCTATAACTTTCTAAATTTGACAGGCAAGTACATAAACACATATGCTTCAAGCTCGATTTCACTTTTTTCCGGAAATGAATCAGACCTATAATTCATATTGCAACCAGTATTGCTAAAGCTAAAACTATTTTTAAAAATAGTAACTGAAATAATTTTTTAAAATATATTTAGAATTATTTAGAATTTATTTAGATTTTTACAATTACTATTTAATTATTTAGAATTATTAGAACTATTTAGAAATATTTTCCAAACAAAAACTAATAAATGACAAAGCACATTAAACTAAAAATTGTAATTTAAAGTAAAATAAAATATTAAATATAACATGCAAAATGAAAACATAAAAGTAAAACAGTTAATTCAAAATATAAATAAAACCTATGACAATACATAAGACTAAAATAACACAAGTTTTTTGTGTCAAGTGCTGCTATAGTACACTTTAGCATAATCTGTTGTCATTTACAGATAGTTTTCTCTTTCAGGTCTAATACTGCTATGGCAGAGCAGCAGTTTGAAGAAAAAAAAATGTTTGTTAAAGGTAAAGTGTTTATTTTTTTCAGTGCTAAAATATACAAGACTGATTTCCCTTAAGATCAACAGCAGTTTTTTTTTGGAAATCTTTGAATAAGTAATTTTTTGCAAATTTGCTTGCTCACAGAAAAAAAGTACACACTTCACCTTTAAAGCTGACATGATCTGAATAATAACAACTCAAGTTTAATAGCACAAACATTGAGGTAACTCTATCGCCCCCTTGAGTACGGAAGTATATTACCACTGCTGCAACGCAAAATGTTGCAAAGACTAATACTCCTGAAGAGTTTTGTATCTGCAATAGACAACAACAATGCATATTTGCTCTGTTACTCTTACAGTTAAATTGCGGGAGACATCAAAGAGCCGTGTCCTTATCTCACACCGAACCTATTATTAACAAAAGCTCATGCGCCAGCATCAAATGAAAGGATGATATACCTAAACTAATTAAACACGACAGGCGGGTGGCAGGCGTCCAGAAGCTGGCAGCCAGCGCTCAGGTGAAGGAGATTCTTGTTTAATCACTTTAAGCCTCTCCTGGTTCTCAGGAATGGATGAGGGTGTAGTATGGCAGTAAATGAGAGAGAATGAAAACACTTACCTGGCACTGAATCAAACAGGTGTTTGGAAATGGAAACTTATCTGTCTACATTTATTCTTTAAAGGGGACGTTTCTGGGTGTGTTGCAGGGCACATGAGGACAAATTAGCTTATGGGGTGCAAGTCGGGCACCGAGTGGTCTTCCATTCCCCAAAGGTTCTCTGGGAAGCGTAACGCTATAAAGCGGCTTTATTTGCCCGCCACTGGCCTGTTATTATGTCTTGGTCTGTTATTAACAATATACTACGCAGGATCAAAGCCATGGAAAGAGGAGCAAAGGAAACCTTTTTTTCTCTCCCCCCGAGTTTTAAAAATACGCTCATGGTGCAGTCCAATTTTAAAAACGTCTCAGTTTACATATATACAGCACTATTAGCTAATAAAAATCGAGCGAATTTGAGATTGTGTTTCTAACGAATTATGACACTGAAATTTAATGCTATGGTTTGTTAAATATGACTGACAAACCATTACAGAAAAATTATCATTTCAGAAAATAGCCCTCCCAAAATGAAGCCCCGCTTGTTACTCTTTTTTCATGAGTGTTTTTCATGAATCTGATTGAACAGTCATCCAACACATTAAGAAGTAAATTCCCCAAAACATTTGCAGCACTTTTGTGCACATTTCGGTGCAAAAAAACCACATGTCTTTCACTAACCATCCATAATACAGTTAAACCAAGTTCTAAATTGAAATAAATTAAAATTATGTATAAATATTAAAAATACAAAAATGCACATAACAAAATGACTAAAAATTAAACTACAAAAAAAATATTAAAACCATTATAGCATATAAATAATACTGTATGCAACAAGTTTTTTTGCATTATGCAATGTGTCAAGAGCTATAGAACACATTAGCATAATCTGTTATCATTTATGGCAGCATAAAAAAAAGCAAGTTGGTTAAAGGTAAAGTGTGCATTTTTTTCAATGCTGTTAAATTAATGGCAGTTTTTCAGAAACCTGTTTGAAATCAGTTATTATTTTTTGCAATTCTGCTTGGTGGCACATTCAACAAAATAGTGCTGCACCATGAGTATTTAAATTCAGTTACTGTGATTCTTTTGAGCACAAACCAAATTCAGTGCCATTTAAATGATGAAATGTAGTACATTTCATTTTAGGAGACATTTAAAAAATTAGATTTGAGATTTAATTTAAATACTGTAAATATATCTTGAAATATTTCGATTTTTAAGTCTATTAAGTTATATCTTTCAAAAGTTGTATAAACGAAGTTGCATTATTCACACAAATCCCCATCTTTCTAAAGGTGCAAACCACCATAAAACATGTGACCTCCCCGCTGCCCATTGCAGTGTCTGACGCGAGGGGTAGGGGGCGCACCTGCTGTAGGGCTGAGGCTGGAGGTTACCTGGGAGGCGTCTGGGCACATCGCTGATGGAGGGCAGCCCTGTGGCCCGGCTGGACGAGAGCGGGGTGGTGGAGTGCACAGACGGGGAGGCCATGGGACTCAGGTACGACGGGTACGTCTGGTCATATGACCAAGGTGGGGAAGACTGAGCCTGGCGTGGATCTAAAGGTACAAAAGAAAAAAGCAAAGTAGTTAAAGGCATAGTCCACCCAAAGATGAAAACTCTGTCAACATTTACTTGCATGCTGGTTCAAACCTGTATGATTTCCTTTCTTCTGTGGAACACAAAATAAGAAATTCAAGAATGTTGGTAATTAAACAGTTTCGGCTCCCATTGACTTCTATTATTTGGACAAAAAATACAATGGAAGTCAAAGGGAAATGAAATTGTTTAGTTAGTCAGCATTCTTCAGAATATCTTCTATTGTGTTTTGCAGAGGAAAGAAACAGGTTTGAAAAACATGAGGTATATATATCTATATACACACAGTACGTATCATCTGGGGGTTTTCTCACCAAACGTTGTTATATGTTAATTAATCAGTATAACCTGTCATTAATTTAATTAAAACTGACAATTCAACTGTTCTATTTATATTTGTCTGTCTCATATAGAGTCTTTGTGTGGTAAGCAAATACAATGTGATCCCTTGGGCAAAGCATTTAAATTAAGGCATTCTCAAATGTTTGTCTGAGATGACATATTTCATGCCTCATAATTCAAGCTTTCTGTCATGCCAAGTATCAATTTTAAAGCGGGCAAATAATCGCTAAAGTCAACAAAATACGGTGCATTCCTTCTCACATTCAGTCCCTTGGCTTGCACACGGTACAGTAACAGGACCCAGAGTACAGGACATGTGCTCTCAGAGCAGTAATTAAGGACAGGTGATATCCTGTTCTCTCACAGTGACACAACGCACTGCCTTAGGCTGTCCGCACTCGGTTTCCACTTGTCCATCATGTTGCAGTGTGCGATTTCAGCTTAGATAAACCACTTTGTGCTGAGACGAATAGACATTACTGTAACAGTGACAGACACCAGATATGCTGAAATGCTTGGGAGGATGAATAAACATAATCGCTGTTCGTAAAAGAAACAACAATTCTGACTGACAGGTTAGCGGCGATTTTAAGGATCATTTACTTCATTCATGTGGTTTTGCGTGTAGATGATATCAATAAAACAGGAACATAAGAAACGTGCACATTAGTAAATTAACATTCCCTGGGAAACGGATTAATTACAAGAACATGGACTTTTTTAACATCAAGATAAGTTAAAAAATTGTGTATATAGAGAGTGTGAGGAGTTGTGGCTGCTAAGAGATCCATCCATTCTTCAATCCACTTGTCTTTTTTATATCTATCTTTGTCTTTGTAAATACTTATAAGCAAGGCTATCTATCTATCTATGCAATCTCATACCTGTAATCTGAGTCTGCCCCTGAGGTGTGAAGGAGTTGGGGCTGCTAAGCGTGGGCCGTGGCGTTTGTGTTGGCACAGTAACCCGCATGGTGGTCTGCCGGATGCGCTCCAGTTCACTGAGACGGTCAGAGAACAGTCCAGCCTTCGGCGAGTCATCCAACTTCGGCCTGTGCCCTGCAATCAATATACTGCCTTTAATAAAAAATTCTCAAAAAAAGAACAAAACTATTTAAAAAAAAATTAAAATATATAAAATATTTCTAACATGACACACCACAAATGTGTCAGATATCACAGCAATGTTACTCTCACTTCTGCTTCTCAAGGGCTCCATGTAAAAACAAGCAACATGTGGTGTGATTCATGAACAAATGATTCTTATGAACCAGTTCTTTCGAATCATTCAAAAAGACTCGCAAACTACAGGATTGAGGTAAATGTGTGCCAAATACATAAACGTAAATAGTTAAATATGATATACATCTATCCATTCTCCAAACCCTCTGTCCTCTTTCTAGGGTTGTGTGGATTCTGAAGCATATCCCAGTGTAATTAAATATGATAAATTTATTATATCATACCACATTTGCACCTTAAATGTATTCATGGACAACAATAATTTTAATATATTATGTAAGTCCAAATATATTAATACAGAACTTATATTATTAGAAAGTATATCCATCCATCCATCCATCCATCCATCCATCCATCTATCCATCTATCTATCTATCTATCTATCTATCGGCCTAAAATTATATATCATTTTTATATAGTAACATAACCCCCCCACACACACATTAACACACATAATTTACTGTAAAAAGTTTTTAGTGGGTCTTGAAATTGATTATATCTCCTAGCATGAAAATGTTAGCCAGTCTATGATGTGTATGTATGGCATAGGGTTGACTATGAGACAGGTGTTCCATTTCCCCTCTTTATAAGAGCTTTCATTATGCCCCATGGCATTTGAGTCTTTCAAGCCACAATCTACCATGACTTTGCCATATGGAATCAAACCGAATCTAATTTCATTTCCATAAAAAAAGTTTTAAATATTACATATTCCATATCCTCAAAATATCTATTAATCTGTCCCATCAGGGCGGGGATTTGGCTTTGACAATGAAGTGCTATGCTTGGCATATAATAACATTTTGTTGGCACACATTGAACACTCAACCTTCCCAGACAAGACCAAACCCATATAATGCAAGACCGCATGTGCCTCCTCTGTGTAGGACGTATGATGACACTGGCCAGCACCTTTCTGGAACACTGTAACAAGAGCGTTTAAGAGTCCATAGCCTCAAGTCTATTCTCGGCAAATTAGAGGAGGGATAAGACAGCAGCGCGGCCCAATACACAACTAGCCCCTTTTTCCACATTAAAATGGCCCAGTGTCTCCCTCAGACTGCAGAAGTTTTTTTCTGAGACGGTTGTAAAGTAAATATCAAACAGGAGAAAGAAAAACTCCTGCTGGAGTTGGCAGCGCTCCAGTTGGCACCGACAGAACACGTTACCTCTATATCTTGACTAACCGGCCTGCGCCAGAAGAACAAAGAGAAGCAGCAAACACTCAGAAAAGTTTCATAATCAAATCGTTAAAGCACTTTAGAATGTCTACAATATGAACTACTGTATGAATCAGTATTTAAGGTGTCATTTTTTAGTATCTTAATATGTAAAGACAGCTATAAGTAAATCATAGGTGCTGCTAGACTCTATTTAGAGAAGGAATCTTTCATCTCAGCTCCCCCTAAAAATCTGAGCTTAACTGTCAGCACCTTTACAAATCTGTGATTATGTTATTTCTCTTAACGTTCGGTGTCTGCAGTGAGTTATCTGAGGTTATTTCACTCTCAATTCTTCACAAAAAGAAAAAATAAGTACTTAGCATTTTTGTCTTGTTTTCCATTACAATTTTTTAAACATTCTTAAAGGGGTCATATGATGTTGCTAAAAAGAACATTATTTTGTGTATTTGGTGTAATGAAATGTGTTTATGCGGTTTAAAGTAAAAAAAACACATTATTTTCCACATACTGTACATTATTGTTTCTCCTCTATGCCCCGCCTTTCTACAAAAAAGGGCAATTTGAATAACATGGGTTACCGAACAGTTTACGGTAGCCATTGAATTTTATGTATGGAAAAAAATACTATGGAAGTCAATGGCTTCCGTCAACTGTTTGGTTACCAACATTCTTCAAAATATCTTCTTTTGTGTTCAACAGAGGAAATTCATACAGGTTTGAAATAACTTGAGGGTGAGTAAATGATGACACATTTTAAATTTTTTGGTAACTATGCCTTTAAGTGTCCTGAAAAAAATCCTGAATTACTTAAATATCTTGAAAAGTTTCATGCATAAAACAAGAAAAAAATATGTCAGTGGGGTAAGAAAAATAATCTTGTTTTCCCTTCGAATTAACTCTATGTACTCCACTGACAGATCTTTTTGTTGCTGTTGTTTATATATAAACTCACTTAGTTTTGATAGATTTTCAGAAAACAAGTTTATTTTCATAAGACGTTAACTGATGGCCTGGAGTCATGTGGATTACTTGTGGATTATTGTGATGTTTTTATCAGCTGTTTGGACTCTGACGGCACCCATTCACTGCAGAGGATCCACTGGTGAGCAAGTGATGTAATGCTAAATTTCTCCAAATCTGTTCCCATGAAGAAACAAACTCGTCTAAATCACAGATGGATTGAGAGTGAGTAAATGTTTTTTACTGAATTTTCATTTTTTAACTATTCCTTTAATATCTTAAAGGAGACATATTATGCCCCTTTTTACAATATGTAATATAAGTCCCTGGTGTCCCCAGAATGTGTCTGTGAAGTTTCAGCTCAAAATACTCCACAGATCATTCATTATAACATTTTGAAAATGCCTATTTTGAGTGGAAGCAGAAACACGCTGTTTTTCGGGCCTGTCTCTTTAAATGCAAATGAGCTGCTGCTCAC